ACATAAACACAACCCACTAATTCTGAGGTGGTTTTAAACATTCTGACTTCAACCCTTCTTTTTATAAACAACCTAAAAACAACACAATCCTTTATACAGCAATGATTTTTATTTAAGTTTTATTGAATGTATCTGACACATCAGAAGTCTTATTCTTCCTGCAGTCTGACTGTAGGAGACAATGTCTTCAGGATGTTTGACAAGTAAAGCCGACTGAAAACTGACTCAAGGAAAGTTTATGTTTTTATTTATTTTTTTCCATCTGATTGTAGCTTCAAATCTTAAAAGCTGAAAGAATGTTTGCAACTTGTTGTCTTCTTGCGTTATTAAGGCTGTGACCTCGTCACACACGGCCTGCCTTCTGATGATGACGTTACATTTTAAAGACCTCTGTTTTATTTGGCAGCTCATCTCTTGGGGATAACTTATGATGTTAAGATGTCGTTCTTGCAAAGGGACATCTGACAGCTTAACTATCTTATCATTCTGTACTGGAGTTTCAGACGGTTACTTGTTGACAGTTGAGACGAGCTTGAATGTCACCAAAGCTGCACTCCACCATTCATGCTCAGCAAAAAATAAAACAGGCCTGAATGACAGAACTAGCATGTCTAAAAACTGGAGGGTGTGTTTGTCCCCAAAAGAAAATATTACAGACTGTTAGCAGTGTTTCATTATTAAAAAGTCAAAATCTTGGATTTGTGGAGAGGAAAACAGCGAGTTAACCACCACCGTACGTTGTAAGAGGCTTGGAATCACAAGGCTTAAAATTAAAATGTGTATGCTAGTATTAAAAATATTGATCCTAAACATATGGAAAAGATTTTCCAGGAAACAAGCACTGGATGTTATAAAGTCCCACTAACACAGAATAATATGGTTGACAGTGGTCTGTATTGGATGGGCTTTGCATCAGTATGAAGTGGCTTTGCTCACTTAACAGATCAGTGGCGGCCCCACGGCCCGATGGGAGCTGAAAATCTGTGTCACTCTTAATTTTGCACTGATAAGAGCACACAGATGGACTCACCAAAACTCGCTGGGTTTCTGAACGTGGTCCAACACAGTCAATTCAAAACTAACACAAGACATTTACACATAATGGAAAGTTAATGTGAAAATGATGGCCTTTTCAAATCAAAGCAGCATGTGGGTGGTGGAATCGAAGGGGAGGGAGGGCTGAAGGGTGTTTAGGATTATCGAACAAACTCCGTTGTGGCAGAACTTTCTCGGCGTGCTGCAGAAGGAGTGACATTTTCCATAGGATATCTATCAGCCAGGCTTAATGGCTTTCTTCAGCTCTTGCTGGAGAAAAGGCATTTTTCTTTTTTTAATGGATAATTAATAAATGAATAGTTGATGATGAATGGCCCCCATTTCTCCTCTTGTTAATGAAACGATACACCGTTTCTTATTGCCAGGAAGAATACTCCCTGGTCTCTGGTGTATTCTGGGGACATTATTTTAGAATCGCAGACACAAAAGCATTAGCTGCATCTCTGCAGTCCACCAGATTTCAGACAAAGTAGGTGGGCTGGGAGTGATATTAACAGTTAATATATGGCTGCAATTATTGAACTGTCAATAGTTTTTAAAAATGATGGCAATCATGCAAATCACAAATCCTGACAGTATTTTATGTGAGAGTTGGTATAACTGCATAATTAAGAGGCACTGCTGTCTTTTTGCTCACTGTCAAACATGAAATAAAGTTGCATTTTTTTTGTTTATCAAAGGGCTGCAACAACGAATCGGTAAAATCAATAAAAATCGATTATTAAAAGTGTTGGCAATGAATTTCATTATCGATTCGTTGTGTCGCACAATTTATGCGTCCCTCGCCATGTAAAAAAATACTTCCTGTCATGAAAAGACCCTCTGAATTCAAGAGAAAACTCCTGTTTTTAAGAAAATGGCTGCTTATCAATTAATTGTTAGTCACTGAATGAGATAAATCAACTTCGGATTAATTCATTAATCGATAACTTACATCCCTAATTTATTCAGGAATGAAATTAATTTATATCTACTCATATTTATGTAATTAAGCGTTTTAATGATTTGGCCGATGAATCGATTAATCGAAAAAATAATCGACCGATTAATCGATTATTAAAATAATTGTTATTTGCAGCCCTAGTTTATTATACCATTAACATGGTAAGTGGAATGGACTTACTGTATAAAGTGCTTTACCAAGTTCCTACAAACCCCAAAGCACTTTACACTTCAATCATCCACCCATTCATCCACACTTTCACACACTGGTGGTGGTAAGCTACAATGTAGCCACAGCTGCCCTGTGTTAGAATCAGCACCCTAACTCTTAATCATTAATCAAAAATATTTGGTTTAGATCTTTGCTTCTCAAACAGTGGTACAATGGTTGTATCCAGGATTCCTAAAGTTGTACTCTGAAGTAATGTAAGTGTCCACATTTTTACAGGTTGAAAACAAGCCATGTGATTTAGGTCGTATTCACACCGGATAGTCCGGTAGACTCGGTTCGATTGGGGACCAAAACTGCAAGCTTTGTTTACATTTTCTGTTGGTRTGGTTTGAATTCACACTGCACTTTCTCAACCAAACTAAACCCTGWAAMCAACCTGTTCCCGCCCTCACCTGTGGGGGCGCTGCACCAAGAACCACTGAAGGAATCAACATGAAACCTACAGAAGAAGACATGGACCAGCTTCCTTCTTCACAAAATGTAAACAAACAATAGTAATGTAACATTTTAGTGGTTATAGAGTTTATTTTTTGTTTTTGGTAAATGTGCTAAACAAATAGTCTTCAACATTGAGCTCAGCATGAGAGGAAGATGAGGCGGAACCATGGAGAATGATGTTTTTACACACAAGTCAGCTGAGGAAGCTCTATGTTAATCGAGCAGGAGCGCGTCCAGCTCCACAGTCATGATGTCTACCTTATACAGTCGTCCAGCGAGGTTTTTACACCATATAAGTAAATTTATTACTGTTATTACTCAGAATGTCATGAGGTATAGTCTACTTCCTGCTTTTGGAGCGGTCTCTGGTCCGCTTACCGTTCACACATGCAATCGAACCGTACCAGAGTTCGTTTCAATCGAACCGAGACCTAGGTTTTCAGGCGGACCAGAGTTCGCTTTTTTTGATCCGAAACAGAGTTCGATTACGTGTTCACACCTCCACGAACGAACCGGACTTTCCAGGCAAACGAACTAGAGTTTGATTAAATCAGACCAAACAGTGCAGGTGTGAATACGCCCTTAATGTTAAAGAAGTTTTTAAAAAAGCATTTCAACCCAAATTACAATTTTGTCTCTAATCAGAAACTGCTGTAAACAAAGCCACATTGTAGAATATGTTGAGAAAGCCTTCTGAAAACTGAAGCTGATGATAGTGGACAATGTGACAATGCTGGTGCCTTCTAGCTACCAGAGGTGCAAAACAGCAAGAAAATTTGATCAAGGTATCTCAAATTTCTATTGTGAGGCAGAAAAACAATGTATGCTAACCTCAGCAGTAATAGCATGAAATTGTTACAATTTAAACCAAACCTTCAACCAGGGTTAGATGTGGTTTTTTTCACAACACTACAGCTTCTTTTCAATCAATCCTTTGGTCAAAACTGCTTGGAGTAGGAGGAAATCAAAGGCAAAGTCAGTCAAGATTTCTGTCATGTACACTAGTTTACTTTTTTGTCAAATACTTAGTGAAAATCCAGTACAAGCTTGTAGGTTTGTACTAGTGGTTTTTAATGTCTGACATAATGGTGGTACTATTTTTTGAGGCAGTAGTTTTTTTGAAAGGTCAGAAGATGACTACTTGAGATCTAAACAATAAAAATATGAGTGCAATTGCAATTGTGAGGCTAAAATCTTTTATTGAACAACTATTATCAGGCTACATGTTCCCCTAGAAGATAGATGTGCCATGAACCAGAATCGGTTTTCAGTCACACTAGCAACATTTAGGCTACATTTAATTTTGAAACAGGATTGGCCCAAGCTATGATCACAGAGACAAGCCCCAACACCAGGTCCAGCACATAACATGACACCATTTTAGAGCAGAGAAATCTATCATGGAGGAAGCTCTGTGTGTTCATGCATGCGTGTGTGTGTGTGTGTGTGTGAGTGAGTGAGTGTGTCATTGATTGCTGCAAGAAAATCCCCAATAGCTTTAATCAATAGCACAGACGCTCGCATAACTTGAGTCAAGGACAGGTGATAAAAGCAGAATGAAAATATCAGCATCTATTAACAAATAGATCTGCCTGCAGTTCTTCTAAACTTAACCTAAATATGACGATCAGCTAAATCTGTCGGGTCAGACACCAAGTTAGGAGTGCCATGGGGAAAAAAGACAATATTTCAGAGCCACAACCAAGCAGCTTCGACGTTACCGATAAACAACACCCCTCAGTGTACATGCAGTGTCAGTGCATTCTCTCTCACTTCCAGTAAAAAGGCACAAACACTGCATTCTAGTGAAATTACATGAATTGCTGGCACAGTATATGATGCATATGCACATTTTTGGGAATCTTCATACAATTTCCTTCTGCAAACACAAACTAATACTTATTCATGACTAACAGTTTAATCACTGCATTGCAACACTGTTATTATTGTAACATTTGCTGTTGGTTTTGAATTCAGCATCCAAAACACCAAGACAGAGTTTTATCTACCCACAACAGAAATATTGATTCATGAATCCTCATAGTTCCAAAGGCCTTGTAGTACCCACCACTGATCAATGTTTTACAATATTCACCCAACAAGGATTTCAGACACCATTCTTAAAATAGGGCATGATTATTTCTAGCCAGATTATTTACGAAGAAACAACAAACCTCATAAAGGTCAAAGACCATGCTGGCTTGTGAAAACCCAACAACAGGCCCATTTTGACAACAAAAAAAATGTTCAAAGACCTCTTCAAACAAGCAACCACACAGCAGGTGCTTAAAAGCAAAAAGGTTCAAGTTTGTAAAGACTATGAATAACTTACGTGTTTTTCGGTGGTTGTGCACACGAGTGGTCAGTGTAGTGGAGACCACCTCAGTAGTAGTATGCTCCGTAGTCCACATTTGTGTAGAGTCGTGTAGAACCGTTAGACTGGGTGAAGATGAGCCAGTAGTTGCTCCTCCAATGACAAAAGTCGTTCGTGATGCTGCAGTTGTAGTAAAGACTGAAGGTATACGTCCATTACGATTTCCAGGATTTCGAGGTGTCACTTGACTACCAGAGGCCCCGCCCCCTCTCGAGTTTATAGCGGTGGTAGTAGCTGTAGTTCTTGTTCTGCCTTTAGCCATGGTTACAGTTCTAGGCGTGGGGTTCCCACTATCACCTGTAGGAGTGGTGGTAGTGGTCGTATCAGGACCTTTAGGAATCCCGCTTGGCTTTGAAAGAAAGATAGGATCTTGGCCTATTCTATTAGCATCCACCAGGTCAGTTGGCACATAATCCCGCACTGTACCAACAACAATCCATTTCAGGAGCATTAGGCTCAATCCAAGGCCAACGAACCCAATAAGTAAGGGGACCACACAAAGCCATGTCTGCTGGCGAGGCCAAACTGCACAACGAACGGGACCCCGATTTGGAGCTTGGCCCTCTCCGCGAGCCCCAGAAGCCCCTGATCCTTCAGGTTCCTCCAGGATCACTGCCCCGGAAATACCTGCCCCGGAACACTCACTCATCCTTTCTTGCCTTTCTTTATGGCTCATTAAGGGTTAACCCTGCGATAAGCCTTGATAGCACATAGCAGAAAGGCATTCAACAATGCCAAACATTGAAAAGACAAATGGAAAGGAAACAAAGCAGATAAACTCCCCAAAGACTTAGATTCGTAATCCCTAAAACACAGATAAGTATTCCAAGGGATAGTGAGAAGGAGAGGGGTGCAGGGGAGACATGCAGACACACAACCACAGAGAGCACACTTTCACACACCGAGACCCAGAGAGATAAAGAGGTGGGGTTTAGAGAAAATCGCCTGATTAGTCCATGTTTAGTCCTGCCCAAAATCAATTTTCATCAGAAATCTCCAGGAATGTTCACGACAAGGGAAGCAAAAGGAGAAGTAGAAAAAGTGATGCGTCTGCCAGGAAAAACAAGGAATAAGGATAGAGATGGGTGGGGAAAGAATGTCTTCACATTTGTGCATACGGGAAATCCATGCGATCAGTGTTTGAATGCCACTGCAGCAGAAATCCACAACGAATATTACTCGACGTCATATGTAGCATCCATGTACAATCCACGATGGGACAGTAATGACCAGAACTTGTAGGGTGGGTCTAGTGGCTTCCCCAGCCAGAGGAGGTCCAGAAAGATTAAAAAAGGTATACGAATGTAACCTCTTCCAACACATTTAGCCACATCAACTTTCTGTAAATCCAAATGTGTCTTCTGTAACTGAAACAGAGATCAAAAAGAAATATCTCTTGTGTCTCTTGTGAATATTTATCTCTGCCAGTCGTTGTCTCTTTTTCCTCCTGTTTTAGTTCTCTTTAATTAAAAAAACAGCTTTGTTTCCTTTTTGTGTGCTCTCAATTCCAATAAACAGAACATCAAAATCCAGTTAAAATCCCATATCTGGTCTAGAAGAAAGACTTATTTCAGGAGAGAGGGTTGGAGTCGGGAAAGAGCGAGGGGTGTTGTCGCGCAGCATCACAGGGCGGATAAATCTGCAGCTGCAACGAGTGATCCTGCTCCTTCTCCAGCCGGCTGTAGATCAGATTTCCCCAAGCTGTCGGCTCAGCTCTCTGCCATCCCAGTGTAATGTTCGTTAACACTGCAGCAAGCACTCAGAAAGCATCCTCTCATACATTTACAAGCAACATTCCACTACAGGACGATAAAATATGAACAGATGGTGATGAGATGCAGAGAGTTTTGGAAAGAAATTATTTAAAGGGAAGATCAGAAAGTAGGAAAATAAACTAAAACCATAAATGCTGGAAAAAATATTCCACAGAGTCTCTGCTGTGATTTCTGAGAGCTGTTTCTTAGTCCCTGAAAGCCAGCGCTCTGCTCAGTCAGGCTGTGATTTGTTGATGTGCTGCCTGGGATCCTCTGCTCGTCCTTCCATCCAGGATGCTTTTTTTGAAGATGATTAAAAATGTGCGCCCCGCGCTGGAATGAGCACTTGCCAATGCAGCGGCAAACGCTCCCCCTCGTCGGAGTTCACAGCATCCAGCAATGCAGCTGTCTTTACCTGTGGCAATTGTGATGCAGACACACATGCAGCTGCCTCCCTGAGCTGCTGCCACTGAGAGACAGGGAACGAATGAGAGGGGGTGAAAAAAAATTTAAAAAAAATCAGACGGAGCCGAGTGCACACTGGTAGAGCAAAGGAAGAGAGGGAGATAAGGAAGGGAGGGAGGAGAGGAAAGAGGCTGCACCTGCTAGATGCACCAGCACTGGGAAGCGTGCCCACCTCCATTAGCAGGGAGGGGAGAGAAGAAAGATGCAGCATGCATACTGAAAACCAGAGAAAAGGAATGGAGGTGTGTGCACAGATAAAGATAATGAGGGCTGGGCACAGAGCTCTGCGATGGCACACAAGGCACTTTCAGGCAAGAGGTCCCAGTAGGAGCGGAGCACAGCCACTAAGCAGGAACTGTCAATCAGTTCCTAAGCCCCACCCACTAAACAGTGTCAGAAGTAACCAGTTTAAATTATAAAAAATGTATCTTTGAATCCAACGCCATGAATGCTTTTTATGTTCCTATAATCGTTATAAACTGAACATTTGTGTTTATTATGATCAACTTAAAGTCAATGTTTTTTAGTTCATTTTTCATTATAGCAGTCAACATTAATCACTTCCACTGAAGTGATTTGAGTGAAAATGATAAGAAGTTAATAGTAGTCTCTTGACTTTTACCATTTTTGCAGCCTTTTTTAAATAATAAATCAACAATGTAACATTAAAATTTACCTAAATATATGTTGTTGTTTTTTTTTTTTTTTGTTTATTTTATTGGTTCATTAGATTTTACCTTTAGGGTTTATTTATGTATTTTAGATTTAAACTTATAGTACGGTAGTAGTAATATTGGCATTAGTAGCAGTAGTAAAAATAATATTAGTAGTATTAGTAGTAGTTGTAATAGTAGTAGAAGCAATAGAAGCAGTAGTTGTAGTAGAACTAGTAATATCAATATTAATAGTAGAAGTAGTTGTAATAGTAATAGCAGTAGTAGTAGAAGTAGTAATAGTAGTAGTAACAGTATAAGTAGTTGTAGTAGTACTAGCAGTAGTAATGTAGTAGAAGTCGCTGTAATAGTAGACGCAGTAGTAGTAATGTTGTAGTAGTAGTGACAATTCTAGTAAAAGTAGTAGTTGTAATAGTAGTAGTAGTAGTAATAGTAGTAGTAGAAGTATTAATAGTAGTAGTAACAGTAATAGTAGTTGTAGTAGTATTAATATTATTAAAATATTGTAGAAGTAGTTGTAATAGTAGTAGCAAATTAGTAATGGTAGTAGTAATAATAGTAGTACTGTCAATAGTAGTAGTACTAGTAGTACTATAAATAGTTTTATTAGTATTATTAATATTAATAGTTGCAATAGTAGCAGTAGTAGTACTAGTAGTAGAGATAGTATTAAAAGCAGTAGTAATGGTAGTAATACTATTAATGTTCAATTCAATTCATTTCAGTTTATTTATAGAGCACCAAGTCACAACATACATTGTCTCAGGGCACTGTACATAAAAAGATTAATCTAAAGAAGAAACCAACATTTATTATTATTATTAGTGGTAATAGTAGTAGTAGTAATAATAGTAGAAGTACTACTAGTAGTAATAGCATTAGTAGCAGTAGTAATAGTAGTAATACTCCATCCATCCATCATCTGAGTTGTAAAGTAACTAAGTACAAATAGTTTGTTACTGTATTTAAGTAGAATTTTTGGGTATCTGTACTTTACTTGAGTAATTATTTTTCAGTCTACTTTTTACTTCTACTTCTTACATTTTCACACAATTAGATGTACTTTCTACTACTTACATTTTTTAAAAAATGCAAAAAGTAGTAAGTCGTTCCTTTTACTTCATTTTTACTTGTTTTCATTGCAGCTTGTTGTTGTAAAAAATAAAAACTATCCATATAAACTGAGCCTCCTAGATAGAGTGAATTTAACTGTGGTTGAATGAGAAGTATAAATATATAAAACTTTGATAGTGTATTAGTTTGTACACAAACAAATCATGTCACACTCCAGCAGGACAGAATCATTCAAATAAAAGGACTGTACTTAAGAAGTATTTGTATTTCATGAATTATATTCTTACATTTGGCCGCAGCCCTCAGATAGATTTTCATTTTGGGGAAAAGCTTTGTGCAGCCTTGATATATGTATATAAACTGAAACAGCTGGACTAGTGCATCCTAAATTTAACATCCATTCATTCTTTTAATACAACAGTCATTTCTGCAGTTTTTGGGGAGGTCACCTCCTAATAAATGTCCTTACAGAAAATCTAACTGCTCATTTTAAATCAATACTTTGACTTTTAATACTTAACTACAACAAATATCACATACTTTAAGACGTTTACTCAAGTTATATTCCTAAAGGAGATTTTAACTTTTACCAAAGTAACATTTTAGTAAAATACTTGTTCTTTTACTCAAGTATCGCTTTGTGATACTTTATACAACATTACACCACTTCTTCCTTTCAGGGTCATGTGGGTCACTGGTGCCCATACCCAGCAGTCACTGTGGGGCGGGGTACACCCTGGACAGGTCTCCAGTCCATCACAGGGACACAGAGACAAACGAGACAAACAACCACTCTCACCCACACCTAGGGACAATTTAGTGTTACCACTTAACCTAACAGTCATGTTTTTGGTCTGTGGGAGGAAGCCGGAGTACCCGGAGAGAACATGCAAACTCTACCCAGAAAGGTCCCCGGGTTAAGATTTGAACCGGCGACCTTCTTGCTTAGACGCATCAGCTCTACCAACTGAGTCACTGTGTTGCCCCATAGTAGTAACACTATTAATATTAATGATAGTAGCAGTAGTAGTAATAGTACTAGTAGCAATATTAGTAGTAGTAATAGTAGAAGTACTAGTAGTAGTAATAGCATTAGTAGCAGTAGTTATAGCAGTAAAACTATTAACAGTAGTAGTAGTAATATTAGTAATTGTAGTAATAATGTAGTAGTAGTAATAGTACTAATAGTAGTAGTATTAATAGTAGAAGTAGTAGTTATATTTGTAGTAACAGTAGAATTAGTAGTAGCAGTAGGAGTAATTGTGGTAGCAAAAATAGTAGTGAAAGTTATAATAATAGTAGTACTAGAAATTGTAGTATTAGTTGTAGTAGTAGTAATAACAATAGTAGCAGTAATAGTGATAGTAGTAGTAGTAGTAGTAGTAGTAGTAGTAGTAGTAGTAGTAGTAGTAGTAGCAGTAATAGCTGTAATAACAGTTGTAGAAATGGTAAAATGGATCGAACCTGCAACCCACCGATTACAGCAGATTCCCAACCAGGGGTACATAGAAAAATTTCCCAGGTGTGTAAAAAACAAAAAAACAGGACTGAGATTTGTAGAGCCCTATGATTTCTGCAATGCAGTAAATGCAAACAGAATCACAAAATTGACAAAAAAAAATGGAGTCCAGTAAAACGCGGAATCTCAAATAATTTGCTCATTTTGGGTATCTGATGTATTTTGGAAACTTCTGCTTCCTGCACCTGCCATTATCTAGGTTGTTTATTTAATTATTTATGCACTTTCAAGGCAACATATTTATCTTTATGTTTAATTTGAAAAGAAATAAAAGAAGAATAAAATACCTGAACATTAAATGTCCTAGGGGGTTAAATAATTTTCCTTTAATAATCAGCTGTTGTACATTATAATTTTGGAGAATCACGACGTTTGACAGAGGGGGTATTAGTGGTATGACAAAATGGCTCAGGGGGTACACAAGTCTATAAAGGTTGGGAAACACTGGATTACAGGACGACTCATCTGACCACTCTTCCACAGCCACCCTCAGTACTGATAATGAAAGTAGTTGTAATAGTAGAAGTAATAATAGGAGTAGAAGTAGTAGTAGTTTCAGTAGTAACAATATTCTTAGTGGTTGTAATGGTAGTAGTAATAGTAATGGTAGTAGAAATAGTTGTAATAGTAGTAGCAGTAGTTTTTATAGTAGTACTAATAGTAATAACAGTATTAGTAATAGTAGAAGTAGTGATAGTAGTAGTAACAGTAGTAGTCATAGTTGTAGTAGTACTAGTGATAGTAATAGTTATGTAGGATAAGTAGTTGCAACAGTAGTAGCCATAGTAGCAACAGTAGTAAAAGTAGTAGTAGTAAAAGTAGTAGTTGTAATAGTAGTAGTAGGAGAAGAAGTAGTAGTTGTAGTAGTAGCAGAAGAAGCAATAGTAGTAAAAGTAGTAGTTGTAATACTAGTAGTAGTAGTATTAATAGTAGTAGTGAAAGTACTAGAAAAGTAGTAATAGTAGTAGTAAAATAACAGTAGCAGTAGTAGTATTAGTTGTAATAGTAGTAGCAGTAGTAGTAGTAGTAGTAGTAGTAGTAGTACTAGTAATATTATAGGAATAGTTGTATTTGTAGTAGTTTTAGTAGTGTTGATAGTAGTAGAAGTAATAATAGTAGTAGCAGTAATACTACTACTTCTTAATAGTAGTAGTAATATTTTAATAGTAGTAGTAGCAGCAGTAGTAATAATAGTAATATTATAGGAATCGTTGTATTTGTAGTAGTTTTAGTAGTGGTAATAGTAGTAGTAGTAATACTAGTAGTAGTAGCAGTAGTAGTAGTAGTAGTAGTAGTAGTAGTAGTAATAGTAGTAATAGTAGTAGCAGTAGTAGTAGTAGTAGTAGTAGTAGTAGTAGTAATAGTAATATTTATAGTAGTGTCAAGATTTTCAGGCTGGAATGAACCCATGATGCAGGCAGTTTCAAAAGAACCAAAAATCAAAATTTATCTAAACAAAAAGTGCTGACAGGGCAGCTCAAAAAACTCACAAGGCTTGGTAGGGCAGGACAGTACAGAACAATGATCCGACAGGGAAGTGAAGACAAAACACAGAATTTAAAGGTGAGACTAACGAGCACAAACAGGAAACACCTGGGAGAGAAACACGAGGAGCAGGTGAGAGTGGGCGGGGCTGGAGCAAAGGCAGACAGGAGGAAGGAAACGGATGACACGACAGAAACTAAAATAAAACATTATTACAGACACCAATCATAACAGTAGTAGCAGTAATAGTAGTAGTAGCAGTAATAGTAGTAGTAGCAGTAGCAGTAATAGTAGTAGTAGCAGTAATAGAAATATTTGCAGAGTTGCAGTTGTAGTTTTCATGGTTGTCAAGTTTTGATCTGAGTTTGAAGTGAGTTTTTTAACATCAGTTGCCAGCTCACTATTGGCTGTTCTAAAAGCTG